GAATTACAAATGCGCTGTAGCCGTACAATCACTACTTGTTTAGTTTTCCACAGATTTATGCTCCTTTATGCACAGCGTTTCCGTGGACGTTTTCACACGTGCACATCCTGTCATGTACTGTGAATCCCTAATGACCCATTCAGACGCCACAAGCTGTATTTAATAACGTTCTCGGTTCAAATAATCTCAACTCCCCGGACGATTTTAAATTTAATTTACTTTTAGATAGTTTTTAAAATGAGGTTAGATGTCGCTCTGATTACGTGATAAATGGGAGAAATATTTCATTTTTATGTACCACCGAAGAGCGAGACTATCAATAAAAGCTTATCTAGATCGGGTTCGGTTGGACGAAAAACAAAGAACAAGAAAACAAAAAAAAAACATTATCAAGCCTACTTTTCGTTGGGTAACCCATTCCTTAAAAGGACTCAGTCCTAATTGCTCTAGAGTGACAGATAAACACGACCAAAGTGTAGAGAAGACCAGGACCGGCTCTAATCCAGAACATACGACTTGTAATTTATGTCACACAAAATTACTTTCTATTGAGCCGTGGTTTTAAGTTTTTTTTTAGGGAGAATGGAGTTTACGGAGGAATTTTCAGAGGCGAATTTCCGCATCCAAATTGTCTCCCCCAAAATCGCCCCTCGTCAACCAATTTGCATATTGTGACAAAGCACACTCGGTGGGCAATCTATCATTTGCATTTTACGGCGGGGTTAATGCCACCCCGTCACTTTATACTGAGCCTGCGGTTTTCTCTTAACGAAAGGGTCACGCGAATTCCAATATCGCACGTAGATAGGACACACCCCGCAGAGTTCATTAAAACCACCGTAACATTGAATTGAACCAATAGCAAAGCGATGTTAAAAGTCAGTATGCTATATTTTTAGAGGTTTTCGAATACAGAAGTATTTTCTCGTAAATGGACTTAAAAAAGTTTTTTTCAACCACCGTTAGTTCAAACCCCTTTTTGGAACGAACGGTTTCGGTCGGATTTAATGGCGCAAAAACGGTTCAGGTGAGTTACTGGTCGTAAATAGCCTTTACCGACTTTTTTACGGACCGCTACGCTAAAGACCATTTCAACTCATCGTGACAGCTGTTTGTTGCCATTTCAACCCTATGTTTTTAGCAAAAACTCTTTGTTTGAGGGTTATTGAACATTTGTACTAGTTTGATATCCTCAAATGTCATTTTTGTAATTGAAAAGTTGTAATAGAATTTTATAAAAAAAGATACTGCATTAAAAAAATCTATCTATCAATGAGTTTACAAATATCAAACAATTTAAAAATATTAAATTGAAAGAAAAATATTAAAATACAGTAAAACCTCGATATAACGTACTAATACGGGGAAGGGAGTGTCCGTTATTGTTAAAATTCCCTTATATGACAATTATTAGAAGTAGAGTTTAACCGTGCGTCTCTTAAGATGGCTAAATCCGAATGTTTCTAGTTCTAGGTCTTGCGTTAGCTCTACTTTTAGTTCAATAAATATAGACAAGAATCTAGCGCTGAATAACAACTAAATCGAGGGCTCACACTAGCACTAGAACTAACACTAGACTTAGAACTAGAAACACTCGGATTTAGCCGTGCGTCTCTTAGACTGCTAAACCCAAATGTTTCTAGTTCTAGGTCTAGTGTTAGCTCCACTTTTAGTTTAGTAAAAATAGACAGCAATCTAGTGCTGAATAATAATTAAGACTGGAACTAACATTAGCACTAGAACTAACACTAGACCTAGAACTAGAAACATTTGGGATTAGCCGTCTTAACCCTTTGTGTCCCAAGAAGTCCAAAATTTTGAAACTTTGTGACAGAATTGAAGCGCTATCAAAATACGCTCAGTAAAGGCATTTGGAGTCAATTTTAGCAAAATATGACAATCTCCCATTCCAGGGGGATAATGGTACGTGAGAGTACCGTCAGGAATTAAACTATATTTTAGTGATGTTACAGTATTCAAAAAAGTTCCCATGTCTTACGTCATCAGTAACAGAATATCCGTACTTTCATCTTTTGGGTAAGTGGGCTGGTGAACTTGAGCTACGACATTTTCGTGGACGCAGTAAATTTGTATATTTATTTATCATACCTAATAGCGCCATCCTTTCCTCTTCACATTCAGAATACATGACAAAAGAATTGACGAAGTATATACCTGGAAAACCAAAGAAAAGCCTATGCCACCACTTCTTGGAACGGCGGTCGATTGCATACATTTGTGGAAGTTAATGGGCATGATCTACCGAACCCATGTTTTTATTGTAATCATCAACGACTGAAGGACAGCACACATCAATTTTCGTTCCATTCTTTCGCTTTCTTTTTACGGTGGTCACTTCTGTTCCATGAAAATTAGAGCAAAATTTCACGCACTTATAAGGTAATCATAAACTCCTCTTTTCATTCGTTTATCATCTACCAAATTTTTTGGTGCACATTTTTTGCGAGACCTTATTGTTCCACAAGCTAAGGTTTTCTCAATGTTCAGTTTTTCCAAAAGACGGATACTTGTAAAAAAGTTATCGAAATAAATCATTCTATTTTTATTCCCCTCATTTTCAGTAAGTTGTCCTTTCACCTAATCCATAATCTAAATGTTTCTTCAGTTTCAGGAGATTTTCCTTGATACACATCAAATTTCTTTATGTACCCTTTCTTATCTGCTAAGCACCAGAGTTTATAACCCCTTTTTACGGGCTTTATGGGATTGAATTGTTTCATACTTGACCTCCCTTTGAAGATTATCATGGATTCATCCATAGCCAACTGCCTAGTGCCATGATAATAACTAGAGAACTGACGGTTAAGTGTTTCAAAATACCGACGGATCTTATATAGTTTATCCCTATTGTTCTTAGGGATAATGCTGTTATTGTTGACATGCAGATGTGATAAAATCTCCTGAAACCTGTTACGGGTTATTGTTCGTATGACAAGTACAACCAAGTCTTCAGTATTACTCCAGATGAGTTTATAGCTTGACAAACTGTGATAACTCATTACGAAATTTATGTCAAGGAAACACACCAATTCTTCTTCTTTTAAGTTTAGCGTTTTAGTTTTGGGTAGCGTGTAAATTACTTTGAAAGATAATATCTTTCACACAGTTACCCATCAGTGTTAGAAAACAATATGTAGGATTATTGCAAGTTGCAAAAGTATCACCAATTATGCCCTCTGGATACTCGTGTCCTTGAAATTCAGTCTCTTTTTCTCGTTTTCTGCATTTTCTATCAATTTCTGCCTTGTTCTTCTTCTTGGGCCCTTTGCCACGTATTTATACTACTTCAGTGTAACTTTCCTCATTTTGATTAGTTACTTCTTCATCTTCCAGCATAGGTACCTCACTAGTACTAGTAATAATAATCTCTTCTTCATCTTCTATGTCTCTCTGTTCAGAATTATCCAACGGGAGTTTTTCTAATTCAACACCAATTTTTTCAGCCTCAACCAAAAGTTCTTCATCAGTCAAAGGTTTGTTCATGTGCAATTTTTACATCAATCTTAATGCATCTTATTGTATTCTACCTGTTATTATTCTGACGGTACTTTTACGTACCAAACACAAAATGTAATTTTCTTCGGGATAAAAATAAGAAATGTTTGAAAATTGTAATACGTAAAAAATGCACGAAGCTGCTTACAAATCACACCTAATAACAATTTATCAAAGAAATACCTTTTTGAACAACAAAATTCAGCAATATCACTTTTCACTAAACTGCTAACCTCACATCCCTCACATCTGGATGAATAAGTTTAAATATAGTGCGGATTGAGTCATTTTTTATACAGATTGTTTCTTGTATAGTAAGAATTACCGACAGCTCTAAATGCGCCGAAAAGATGACTACAGTTTAAAATGAGTGTTTAAAACTACTGGTACTTTAAAGTCTCGTCGGGAGACAAAGGTTTAAGACACGTACGGCTAACCCGAATGTTTCTAGTTCTAAGTTTAATGTTAGTTCTACTTTTCGTTCAATAAAAATATACTGTCCGTTATATCCGAAGTCCACTTTAACGAGGTCCGTTATGAAGACGTTTTAGTGTAATAATGTGTAAAGAAAATGTGTAATTTTGTATAGAAATGAGTCTTATTGGATTTATGTGAATACTGACTTCTTCGCCAACACGACTAATAAAAAACACATCTTTGAATATTTTGTCAAGTCGCCACACGTCGGTTTAAAGAGTGTTGCCAGAGAGACCTTCGCGACTGGGTGGATGCCGGATAATAAATGACTTCCGTCGCGACTGAAACCACTCGCAGCGATCGTCATAACAACGTTCGACCATAAATCACCCCGAACAATTCATTTTCAATTGTGTGGTTTCGCTTAGCTGTCCATCAAACGGCGACACTGTGAGTGGAAGATAAAATGCTCTCTCTTTTAAACTTTTGCTTAAAATATTAAACAAAAAAACCATCCGAAAGTTATTTCTCCTATTTTTAATATTATTTTTAGTTTAAACGTGTACATTGACAGGTCACAAGGACACAATATGTACGGTTTAGTCAACGCATGCATTAATGTATGAATTCTAATTAGGTAGGTACCAGTTTTTGACCGCTTGTATGTTTGCTTCGTTCTCGTCCCAGTTGGAGCGTTCTGAAAACATGGTTATGGAAATGAAGTGCTCTCCGGACACTTCGTTCGCGGCTGTAAAATTTTAATTTCATATCGGTTTTGTCAAAACGCGTATTCGTTAAGGAGTGAGAACTGATCGCAGTCAGGTGTGCGTCTCCCACGCAGACATTATTAATAAAGATTTAAAGATTAAAAAGACAAAGTTGTTGGCGGACAGGCGTGAGAAGAACTTTTTGTCTTCATCCAACCCAACCCTGTACTAATATCAATCATCAACTCTCCCTGTGATTAGTGAAAAAGCCCACCACATATATGTAAAAGTACAGCTGGTCGAACAAGCTCGCGACGTTTCATTTCAAAAAGTGCATACCGTACTTCACGCATTACTTACCTCGTGCTTGGTCGGTTTCAATTTTTAAGGGGTCCCCTCTAAAAGTCGCGTTATGGCAGCAGTCGTCTCGTCGTTACCGAAGCTTTGTAATCTGAAATAAAAAAGCGTAGGAATAGAAACGTAATTTTCTTTCGTATACCGGTTTTAAAGGAGACGTAATTTAAAAAGTTATCGACAGAGAAACCGTTGTATATGGGACGTATTAGGACAATGGACACACCCAAGTACCGTTTTAAACCGCTTAAATTGCTTCTCTGATATCTTTAGTCTTTCTCTTCTATGGATCCCATTAGAAATGTTTACTAACAAGATATACAATAAAATAAAATTTTACTTTAAATGTAGTTCTTTTTTAAATCGACATCATTTTAATATAATGTGAAAATAATAGTTGAGGAAATAAAAAGAGTATGATTAAAAACATAGTTTTCTCTCCAAGCTTAGTAACTAATTATAATAATAACATTAATTCCTATCGTGCTTTTGGATGTATTGATAACAATTTAAGTTATAGTACCAAAAGATATGATACTTTAATTATAATGTTAATAACCTCTATAATAACCATGCCTGCTCAAATAACGCAGAGATGTCTTTGACCAAATGATGAAATAAGATCTGTGCGAGTGTAACCACGTATAATTGAAACCTACACCTACTAATGTTAATCGCGAAAGCTATATAATCTTACGTAACTGTTAAAAATAATGTTCAGCAAAAGAATACTCTGTATAGCGCTATTCCGAGGACGTTGCGGTTCCTGAGAGTAATTGCATCTCCCTTTGGTCGAATTAATAATGCGACAAAGGAAGCTACTATTAATGAAATTCCTGTATTTGTGAACACTTGTTCTAAGTCTACTTGTTATGGGCTTGGCCTATAGTTCTTTCTATCTTCGCTTTAAAGTGGAAAATAACTCTACGTCGTTCCCATACCAAAATTTATGTTACAACATAAAGTCTTAGAACTAATTTTTGCAAAGATCGTATATGTTGGAGTAGGTGTTGAAACTGTAGATATAAATAATTTTCTAATATGCTTTTCTACTATATAGTTGTTATGTAATATCATAAGATTTATCTTTCAATAAGATTACGAAAAAATTCGTATAGCGAAGTATTAATATTAAAACGTGTTACAACAAAAGTTTCGTGTTTCACTGTGAATTTGTGATTAACCTCAACACGTTATGAGCACAGGAAATTTATACGAAGAAAAGTATTGCGGGTATCGATTGATATCAATAAAGCTACGAGATTAGTGGAAGGGATGCGGGGGTTCAGTGTTATTGCTACGTGGAGCTACGTTACCATGTCTTCTTAACATAGATCTTGTCTAAATGACTTTTGGACAAGTACATAACAATTAGCAGCTCTTATGAGAGCATTCACTTTCGCTAATAGTTATTCAGTAGCCAACAACCAGATCAATATCCTTTACGTTTTTTAATTTTCACAATGTTAAGTATGATTTTTCTGGCATATGGAGTGTCATTAATCCTCGAAATCGATGGATCAATGTAACCTCTTATGCCTGAGTAATCTGACCCCAAATTATAAAATTTGAAATAACTGAAATAAAAAAAACAACGTTTAATTTTTTCATAAAAAATCTGGTTGCAAACTCAGTTAGATTATCCTAACAAATATTCGACAAACAAGAAAACATAAAAGATCACCTAGATTTTAGACAGCGGCGCTTTTCCACGTATTACTTTTGACATAAACTAATATATTTCGTATGACATAGTAGCCATACAGTACTTGGATAGTACTAGAACTAACACTAGACCTAGAACTAGAAAATTTCGGGTTAAATCGTGCGTCTTTTGAAAAAGTCTTTGACTTTTCGGATGCTATATTGCAACATCTTCACTAACAAATTCAAAATGTACAACATCTTATAAAAATGCATGATTGTGTTTCCCAGTATTTTAAATGGTTCATAATTAATACTGTTTCATTTCTTGAAGCAATTCAGTGTGTCCTGTCTTTGGGATAGTTTTTGTAACGAATGTTAAACTTCTCATGTAGACTTAAATGTATCTATGTTAAGCATATTTTCTATGCTATGTTTATGCTTTGTCTATGCTATGTCTCTGTTATGTCTATGCTATATCTTTGCTATGTATAGGTATACTATGCCTATTCTATGTCTGTGCTATGTTTTTTTAGGAAGGCGATAATAATAACCCGCTGTTGATTGATGCCATTTGCAATTTGATTAAAAAATATTAAATTACTAATAGTTGCTTGAGCAGACATTGAATATTTTGGAATTATGTGTGTTGTGTAAAATTTTTAATTTGTTCAAGATATTACGATATTAAGTTTATTTAAAATATTAATATGTTACTGATAATTGATTGAGTGACTCAATAGACTCAACCGGAGAGCAATGCATAATGAATAATGTGTGATCTGTTCTCGAGTTGAAGAAGACTATTTCCTTTCAAGGTGTAATAACAATAAATGACAGTAGTTGAAGAAAATAAAGCTACGATGAGTGAAGATGTTGTGAAGCCAGTACTAAAACTATTGTAATAAATTTATATAACTTGGGTATAAAAGCCATAATTCCAAATATAAATGTGAGTTCTAACAGAACTTTTAAAATTTTATAATGTCGATTAAGCCATAAATGGAATTTAACTTAATAACCATTTTACAATTATATACATATTATATACAGACTCATGTGGTCCAATTCGTTCACTCCTTCAGTAATGCCACTGACCACAGAAATGTTTATTTCAATTTTTACACACTTGTGCAAAAACAAGTTTGGTCACAAGGTAAAAACTCTTCGTACTAATAATGGCATAATATACAAATGGACAGTTTCAAGATTTCTTAAAGCAAAAGGGTATTGAATTAAAAACATATTCACCACATGCCATGCATAATATGCATGTTCAATGATTAGTTACAAAGATATTTATGGGCAGAAGTTGTATATACAGCAGTGTATATTCTAAACAATCTATAAACAAAGACATCGATGCCTTAAAAAAACCAAAACACCTTGAATACTTCGAGATAAACGTACAAACATTTCATGAAAATGCGATGAAGTAAATCGATTATTGCAAAAAAAATTGTGCAATAGAAATGGGGTGTCAAAGAATATGTTGTTGAAAAAACATTTCTTGAAACTGAGTGTTTTTGAACTGCCTATAACAAGCCAGCTATGAAACCATACTTAAAAGTTAGAAATCGGATAGAAATATATCTTTACGTTCGGCCACCTTCTGTCTGTTACACACTTTTTTGTAATTTTTATTAAAATTAATTTTCGTTTAAGAATATATTATTCTTCAAAATTTTAACAATAAATGATTTTATGCTCAAAGTATATTTTTATTTACAAAGCAATTTGGTGGAAAATAATATACATTCAAATTTCGTGACTGTAAAACAGGTAATACAAACTGAAAGGAACGGCGACAAATCATTTGCTTCGTAGGCTACCATTAAAATACCCAATCTGTACCAACATCAAAAGAACCCCCAGCACTGTCATTTCTATGTTGTTCTTTGCTACAACTATTTCATAAACCTTTATTTTCATTTCTAAAACATTAAAAACATTTTTCACATGTTACTCTACAAGTCAGGTTTTCATATTGTGTTATATTCGGTTTATTTTGCTTATATTTTGTAGGGCACGTTTTTATAAACTTATTTTTCGTTTTGTAAACTTCACATTAAAACTCTACTGTTTATCCTAATTTAACGTAATAATATATTGTTAGATTTGTTTATACATTTGACTCTCACACATATACATTTTGTTGGACTAAATATTTTGTAGACTGTAGATATTGTAAAACGTATCAATACACATTGAAAACACCGTTAAACGAATCTTTGGATACCTTAAGGATACTAAAAATTACGGTATTTTGTATAAAGGGTATTATTTGGACCAGCAGCAACAGCTGTCCGTCTCGCTATGCGCAACGGAAGCTGAATTTATTTCAGGAGTTGAAGCTTCTAAAGAAGCTATCTGGTTAAAGACCTTTCTCAATGAGATTTTCTGTTCGTATAAATTCTGTTCCTTTGTGTACAGATAATTAAAATGCGATTAAATTAATAAAGAACTTCTTTACATTTTTGTATACAAAACACATAAATAATAAGAACAATTTTATAGTATAACAATAAATATTGAGTCTTAATAAGTTTTCGAAATTTTCTAATTTTCTAGCGATAGTAAAATTTATCATCATCACTGTAAGACCAAACTCCTAGTCGGAGTCACGTTCGGGTAAAACAATTTACCTAATTAATACTATTCTGGGTTGGGAACTATTGGTTCCCAAACTGTTCTCTGCGGAACGTTGATGTTCCGAAACAAATCATTAGTTCTAAAAGAAATTGTGAAACTAAGTTTAGAGAATTACTAAGCTATTTAACACGTTCTCTGTTAATTCCGTTCGTATTCGATCTAGAAAGAGGGAAACCGTAATTTCTTGTACTTGAAATAAGATAACTCACAGAAATGAATTATAGAAACGATGAAGGTATGTTATTATAATATATTCCGTAACCGCAATTGAAATAAAAAACAGGGTGGTACGGGGTTTCTTGTTTAGTTTAACATGTTCTCAAATTTGAAAATCAATTAAAATATTGAACAAAAATCTTCACTACGTTACGTAAATTTACTGTTATTGGTTTATTTTTCAGTTTAGAATTATTAAAATACTTGTTAAGTTTAAGACACTTATTTCCTACACTGTACCTAAATCTTTTACAAGTCGTTTACTGTTCAATCGATTACATTGTTGAACGGTTGCCTGTCGTAATTCTTAGTGCATCATAATATAGCAATACGACCTCCATAGAAACATTTTTCACCTCAAACTGTCTTACGGCCTCCTTTCGTATTTTGATTGCATTGCTATCTATCCTTTTGATGTTGAACAATAACTATAATTTTACTACATTTCTGCACTTATTTTAGTACCTATTCTACATGCTAACCATAGCGATCTTTTATGTATTATGTAACCGTACAACTACTTAAAAAAAGTAGTATAATCAATATGATTTAAAACAATACTTTTTACTATTTTGTACTTTACTA